CTGGCTCTCTGCTGCGGGGCGGGGCTGCGCGTGGCCTGGCAAGCATCTCCCGGGTGCAGCCGGCTGAGACCAGCACGCTGCCCTGCTCAGTGCCCACTCCCCACACGGGGCAGAAGTGCTACCCACAGGCTGCCTTAGGACAGACCAGGGAGCTGCAGGTGGGGCAGACCTCACACAGCTGGGCCGCCTGCGGGGGGCCCCTGCCGCAGCCCACTCCTGGCAGAAGCGCCCAGGGGTGCTGGTATGTCTTGGCCAGGAAGTCCCACACTGTCCACGGCCCACGTGCCCTCCCTGCGTGGCAGCCTCTCCAAGCCCTGTCTCCCACTGACCTCGGGTTGGGCGAGCCTGGAGGGGCTGGCCACCCATGCATGGTCTTAGGCTCTGAGCCTGTCCCTGGGATGTGGAGCAGCTCTGCGGCTCCGAAGAGTTGCTGAGCTGCGGGCAGCTAGTGGAGCAGCTCCCTGCGCCAGCGTAGGCCCTGCCCCAGCTCCACCCTTGGCCTGTTCGGTTCACCAGAGTTGTCTGCAGAGACAGTGACGTACCCTAGTCTCTCTTGTGGCCCGTGCCCTGGGGCAGAGCAGATCCCTGGTGGGGGCTTACATGAGAGACCCCCAGCATTGCCCCCTCGGCCGCCCACAGGCCCAGGGCAGTTTCCCTGTTGTCTGCGGGAGAGCGCTGCTTCTGGGTCAGCTCTGAGCTGTGACAAGGCGACAGCAGCTCGGCCCTGTTTGCTCCTGGCTTTCGGAGCTCAGGCAGCCTGGGCAGCTCGGGGGCCTGCAGACAGCCCAGAGGAGCTTGTCCGATTTAAATCAAGCACATCTTCAGGAACCGCTGGGCCTGTGGGACCAAGGCGTGTGAGCAGTCAGCCCAGCCAGGGCGAGAGCAGCCCCTCCACCTGCTCCCCCACAGGCTCCCACAGCTGGCAGTGCCCTGCCACTGGCCCCAGCATCACCACCAGCTGTCTCAGGACCACTGCCCGCTGGGAGCCACGCTGCACAGGCAGCCCATGGCGGCTCTGAACGTGGAACGTTGGGCTTCTTTAAGAGTGTGCAGAGGGTCCCCTGTGCCAAGCCCCGGGAACAGGGATGGCAACGCCACCAGTGCCCACAGGAGCCAGCTTCCAGGGTGGGCCCCTGTTCCCAGCCAGCCTGCGGGGAATCTGGGCTCTCGTCGAACCACACTGTCTTCCTCAGCCCAGGAGCACCCTTCCACCCCTGCATCCTCAGGCCCCTTAGGCCCCAGGACCAGCTGGAGCAGCAAACAGCAAAACGGAAATGTCCCTTCCGTCCGGCCGCGAGTCGCGAGCCTCCGGGCGGGAGCCCCAGCGCCAGCGTCTCTCGGGGAGGCCCCGCCACCCTCACGCTGATGGGCACGATGAGCAGGCTGTCGCTCCTGGTGTGGGCTTTCCACCTCCTCTCCCGGGCCGGTGTCCTGCGGGCCTTTCTCCCCACCCGGCTCTGCCACTCAGCTGGGATTCTGGCTCTGCGGGGCCAGCGTGGCACACCCTGGCTGGGACAGACCCAGCCCCTCTCCCAGGACGGGCTGTGCGGCGAGCGGGTGGTGGGCCCCAGGCTGCCCAGCTCCTCTGAGTGAGCATCTGCTGGCCCCCCTCACTGCCCCTCTGACCCGCCGGCCCCTCCTGACCCTCATGGGGCTGGGCACACTGGCGCCAGCCCAGGCTGGGACTTGGTGTTGCAGCGTGTCTGCCCTCTGCCTTGCGCCTCGTCCGACCTCCTCTCCCCACCCTGCCTCACCCCCCCCCCTCCCCCCCCTGCCTCACCCTCGTCTCTCTCTGTGGTGGGGACGACACCCACTGGGCCTCCGTCCTTACCTGCAGGGCTGCAAGAGCACCCAGGGGCATGGTGGGTGGACTCAGGGATGGACTCGGCCGAGCCAGGATGGGGACTGACCCAGGGCGGCCGTCCAGGCCCTGCTGCCCCCACGGTGGCCGTTGGCCGGCACTTCCTCCTCGGGCTTGTTTTCCAGGCAATTTGCTTAATGTGATTCCCGGAGAGTTGAACATGACTAATCGTGTTTACCTACCGCTGCCCCACGGTGATGCCGCGCCTCGCAGGCCGAGAGGGGGCTGGCCGTGCCCCTCATCTCCCTCCTTCTCTTGCACAGACTCAGTCTGGGCTCGCCCTCGGCCGCCATGGAGTCCCTGTCCCCGGCCTCCACGCCCAGCTGGAACGCCTCGGCCACAGCTGCCTCGGGGGGCAGCGGCAACGAGACGCTGGCGGGGGCGGCCCCCATGGCGGGGGCCCGGGTGGTGCTGGTGCCGCTGTTGTACCTGCTGGTGTGTGGCGCGGGGCTGGCCGGCAACACGCTGGTGGTCTTCGCGGTGCTACGGCACGCCCAGATGCGGACGGCCACCAACATCTACATCCTCAACCTGGCAGTGGCCGACATCCTGCTGCTGCTGGGGCTGCCCTTCCTGGCCACGCAGAACACTCTCTCCTACTGGCCCTTCGGCGCCCCCCTCTGCCGGCTGCTCATGGCGTTGGACGGCGTCAACCAGTTCACCAGCGTCTTCTGCCTGACCGTCATGAGCGTCGACCGCTACTTGGCCGTGGTCCACCCCCTGCGTGCCGCCCGCTGGCGCCGGCCCCACGTGGCCAAGCTGGCCAGCGCCGCCGTCTGGGCCTCGGCGCTGCTTGTGTCCCTGCCTGTGCTGGTCTTCGCCGACGTGCAGGAGGGCTGGGGCACCTGCAACCTCAGCTGGCCGGAGCCCGCGGGGCGGTGGGCTGCTGCCTTTGTCATCTACACGGCCGTGCTGGGCTTTTTCGGGCCGCTGCTGGTCATCTGTCTGTGCTACCTGCTCATTGTGGCCAAGGTGAGGGTGGTGGGCGAGCGTGCCGGCTGCTCGCGGCGGCGGCGCGCGGAGCGCAAGGTGACACGCATGGTGGTGATAGTGGTGGCGGTGTTTGTGGGCTGCTGGCTGCCCTTCTTTGTAGTCAACCTCGTCAACCTGGCCTTCGCCCTGCCCGAGGAGCCCGCTGCATTGTGGACTGCTGCCTGCCCTTCTTTGTAGTCAACCTCGTCAACCTGGCCTTCGCCCTGCCCGAGGAGCCCGCTGCAGCCGGCCTCTACTTCTCTGCGGTTATCCTGTCCTACGCCAACAGCTGCGCCAACCCTGTCCTCTACGGCTTCCTCTCTGACAACTTCCGCCAGAGCTTCCGGAATGTTCTGTGCCTCCACAAAGGCAAGCGCACCAAGGATGCAGATGGCCCTGAGCCGCGCCCCGACAAGAGTGGGCGGCGGCAGGAGGCCGCGCCGCCCCTGCGCGAGGCCACACCACACCTGTGCAGCGCTGGGACCAATGGGCTCCTGCAGACCAGTGAGCTGTGAGGGCCGCAGGGGACTCAGCCCTGTGGCCTGGTGCCCAGATTCTCCTGGGGCAGTGTGTGGACAGGGTCATCCAAGAGAGACCATGCACACTGGGTGGCCGCAGCCACAGGTCCCACAGCCTGTCCTGTGCAGGGTCGAGTCGTGACTTGCTCGGACCTGCCCTCTTCCAGTCCTTCCCACTCTCTGCCAGCCCAGGCCGGAGGCAGTTTTCTGAAGGCAGCTGGGAATGCGTCCTCCCGACCCTGGTCTGGGCTGGCGAGCTGTCCGCTGGCCACATGCAGGCTGCCTGGCCCCATGCCAGCTCCATGTCCCCGGCACCCTCCTGGTACCGCGATGTGACAGAAAAGGACCTTGCAGCCAGACCCACTCTGCCCTGCATCCCGGCCAGCCCTGCCGTCTGTAACCTGCCTTCAGAGTGGGCAGCAAGCAGGGCCCTGCGGCCTACACAGGTGACAGTTTCCCAGGCCTCGTGGGCCCCACCTGTCTGCCGGCCTGGCCCCAAGCCAGGAAGTGAGGGGCTGGGGCTGCAGCCTGGCTCAGCCTGGGCTTCTCTTCAAGGACGGCGTCTGGCTCCGAGGTACAGCTGGGGACGGAGGGCCTGGCCCCCGGCTCGTCAGCTCAGGGTGCTGTGATTGGTTGCCATGCTGGATTGGTTCTGTCCAGAGGTCTTAGCACAAGGGCACCGGGGAGGAGGCACCCCTGAGGCCTGGGAGCAGGAGGCCGGGAACCCACAGTCGCGTCTCTGCAGCAGGCGGGGCTCTGGGCTCAGGAGGGTGTCATACAGGAGCAGAGAGGAGGCACTGCAGTGGAACTGCTCCCCGCGGGACAGCAGCACCGGGCTGGAGTGCCACGCCATGTGGCAGGCTAAGCGCAGTGGATGCCAGGCCCTCGGGGCGTGCACCCAGCCCTCAGAATCCCAGCCACTCCTGCCGCCTGGGACCCCTAACCCTAGCCCGCGTGGGCTCCGGGGGTGCACACCAGGCCTTTCTGAGGCTGGAGGGAGGAAGACCAGGGTGTAGCCTCACTCAACCACAGGCCCCTTGGGCAGGATAGCTCCACTGGCCCAGGGAGACCTGAGGGGTGGCCAGCGGGGCAGGGAGGCCTGGGGGGGGGCCCGC